GGGTGGGCATGTGTGTGGATGTGTGTGTGTGTGTGTGTTTGTTTGTGGTGGTCGTTCGTTTATCTGTCTGACCGATTCTGCGGCGGTCCGTATGTTCTGGTAGACGGCAGGCCGCATCTCCTCGGGCAACAACAGCACCTTCGACACGTCCTTTCTGCACACACCACACCATACCATACACAACACAACACAACGCACCACAAGGCAACACAGCACACCCTTCTCACCTGTAGGACTCAGCTCTGGGCACGGTGAGTGCTGTGAAGTATCTGTTGAGGCAGACCTCCCGGCCCTCCTTGTCATGCACGAACACACAGTGGCCGTCGAATCGGGCCCCACAGTGTCTGTGGGCCACCACCGGGTTGCTTGGGGTGGGTGTGGGTGGGGAGGAAGTGGAGCGGGGCAGGTGGTCGAGGTCGGTGGGTGTGGCACGCATCCACCATGCGTACTCCTGTTTGAGCAGCGGGTAGGCGTCCTGCACAAACGGCACGTCAGCCGTCGCCTCCACGTAGGCTAGCACCATGTCACTCAACAAGGGCGGCTGGGTGACAAACAGACAGACCAACGACAGACAGACAGACAGACAGACACAAGGGGTATTGAATGTGTGTAGACAGTCTGTGGGTGAGGTCATGTGTCACATTGCTCAGCTCACCTGGCTGCGGTCGAGATAGTAGCTGCGGATGCCATCTAAGAGAGAGAGGAGGGGAAGGAAGGACGCACAAACAGCACAGCACAGCACAGCACAGAGGGGACGAGACGAGATGAGATGCAGCCCTGCACTCTTCTGTCTGTGAGTGGATTGGATTGGATGTGTGCCTATGCTGTGCTGTGGTGTGGTGTGGTGTGACTGACTGGCGACGAATCCCCATGTTTCGAGCATGCCGAGGAAGTTCTCGATCATGCCCTTGGCGCTCGTGTACATGCCCACGGCTAGCAGACCCAAAATGACCCAGTAACTGTCCCTGATTATACACAGAACAAACACACGACGGACACGGCACACCAAACCGAACCAACAGCCCCGATAACAGTCGCCCGCCACACGGACATCCCTTCCTCCCTCCATCGGTATGTATCATCCATCCATACGTACCAGTAGTAGGCTTCGTTGAAGCGGCCCCCGGGGACCACCACAGGGTGCGGCACCGCCAGCAGCGTGTGCCTCTCGGGGTGCATGTCCACCCCGTCCATGCTCCCGCAGTCCTCATCATCATGCCGCTCCAGCTCCTTCTTGGCCACGTTGCGGCCCAGGCCCACCAGGGCCGCCGCCAGGTGGCCCCGCAGCGTCGCCACCGCCCCGTCCAGTTCGCTCAGCTTCCCGCCCGACACCACCTCGTAGCTCTGCGGATGGTCCGGCAAGGCACACGGCGGAAAATCAGCGCCAGCCCGCTTGGAAAAGTAGCGGTCGAGGAAGGCCCGCATGGTGTCGCGGGTGCGCTCGTCGAGGTCGGTGGCGGTGGCATCGATGTGGAGGCCCAGCTTGCGGTACTCGCTGAGGACGGTCTCCGGGGCGGCCCTGAGGTGCAGGTCGACGAAGGTCTTCTGGTCGGGGAAGATCTGGGCGAGTTGTGCGGCCCGGAGGACCTCGCTGGTGGGGTGGAAGATGAGGTCGAGGCGCTGTTTGACCTGCCTCGCCTTCTCCTTGGTCACACGGTCCACGAACCGACTCCCCTCCTCGGTAGTGCCAGGTGGACCGCCGCTTGCCATGCCGGGCTCGCCCATCGCACCAAATGGCATCACAGTGCTGCCAAGGCCACTGCCGACAGGGGGTGGAACAGATAGCCGGCAACACGCGGCGTGGGCGAGAGAGTAGAGAGGGTACCGGCCCTCATCTCCTGGTGGATCGTCAAGCACAGCCGAGTTGGTTGATGTTTTCACGACGGGCTGGTCGAGCCGAGCTGCCGGGAGGAAAGAACACTTGGTTGCGAGAAAAATATGCACTTCGCGGAGGGAGCTCGCAAGATGGGG